GGAATAAGAATTGAGGAAAAATCCTCAGATTTCTATTGATCATGAAAATCAAAATTCTCAGTTGCAATACAAGTTATTATGCTGCAATATATAGAAAAGGAAAGCTAACTAACTAATTGAGATTTGTAAGAGCCAATACATTGTAGACACGTGGACTAACTAATAAAGCTAGCTAACTAATTCTCTACGTATTCCAGCTCCAACTCAGCGTCATGCAATGCTGTTGTGGTTGACGCTTTATTCTGTTACAACCGATCTTAAGTTTTTCCAATCCATCCATCTCCATTCAAGGTTGTGTCAGGCAAGATTGTGACAATCCGCCATCGATATCATTTTCCAATACATCCACGCCAGAAGCTGTACCAGCTGATTCGATCACCATTCCACTTCTCTCCTCGCTCTTTCCTCTTGCCTTGGGACTAATTCCTCTGCTATTAACTTGAGGTGGTTTATTTTGTCTCAGCGACTCTTCAAAAACATCTAAGTGGGGATAGTGGGGAAAATGTTTACATTTGAGGTAAAAGTTTTTCAAGCCTAAAAGCAGTACATAGACCCTTTATATCAGGTATACCAATCATAATTAAAACTAGTTTCCTTCCACCCCCACCCCCTTACAGGCTATTGCAGATGATGAGTCATGCATCGGTAAAGGTAACAAATAGAATATTACAATATAAACGTAAAAAATCTAAAATTCTCTCCTTGAACAATGTTTCTAAGAAAGAGATTCATCTACTTGGTAAAGCATATTTTATCCTTGGTGGCTCAAATAAGGCCTTGTAACATGCATTCATTTTCTTCCTTTTCGGGGCCAACAGAGTTCAGCTTTCCCAGATTCCAGTCTCTCCTCTTTGATCTCCTTGTTCTTCACATTTAACAGACTAATCGTAACTTGACGAATTAAATTTCAAACTTACAGTAGAGTCGTGTTTTGCGAATCAAACACTGAGTGTATATATTGTCAGGTCTGACAATTTTATGTTATTTTTATGATATATTTAGAATTTAATTTACGCGACTTTTAGAATTTAACAAGGGACTGTTGTAACTTACCATGTCAATGGGAATGAGTTCGAACCTCGTGGATGAGTAAAACATTAATATTATTATCCCCTTAAAAAAGGCAAAAAAAAAAAGAAAAGAAACTATTTTAAATAATGTCGAAATTTGGCGCCGTGAGGTGATGTTGATAACTCATTTTGAATAGCCATCTTTGAAATATTCTTCCTCCTTATTTCACCATTTTGGGTTCCAAATGAAGCGTCACGAAGTGTAATGTGAACTTTTCGAAACGATATCTTGGAATCACACTTTCGACGAGAGAATACACGTTGAATTAGGATCGTTAATGGTGGTGTTAATCCCAAAAAGCATTTCGATTCTGTTAACTTATGTCTAGATGAACTATTTTATATTTCATTTGAAGTATTGTGAAGTATGTGACGAGTGCTCCGAAAAGATATCAAGAACTTTCCAAATGGTCTTAAACGTCCCATTGAAATCAATCTCCAAAGTTGCTCGAATAAAATTGAATTCTGAAAATTTTGGAGATAAATTCAATACGCGATTGCCACTCGTTAACCATGTAACATCTCTATTTTCATTGGAGAAAATTTTTTTAAACTTATTTTTCAACACCAACATTGGGATCATCAATGCATTTTTATTTTTTTTTACTAATGCAGATTAACTGGCCGTCCTAGTCATTTAGGGTTTCACAAGAGCCATTGTAAGATTAAACTTCGCTTGGTTTTGTTAAAAAATCAAATTTTAGTAAATCCTGATAAAAGTTGATGGAAGTTAAGAATTCCATAAAATTTGTGGATCAGCGACAGAGCGAGGATTTTTTTTTTTTAAGTGGACAAAAATTATATAGCAAAAATAATTTTTAATAATGTAACTATAATTGTTCCCAACGTGTTTTCATATTTTGAAAATGTCGTATAATTATATTATTATCAATTTCGTTAAATATATTTTCCTCAATAGACAAAATTACCACTTTGTTATATTGTTAAATCTTCTATATATTAAAAGTGGCTATGTAACGGAATTTCTTGTTTTTAACAGAAAAACTAACGGAATTTTTTGTTTTAACGGACTATGTAACGGAATTTCTTGTTTTAAACAGGCAGTTGCACCTTCATTCAGTATTTTTATCATAACTTTGTATTCCGATATCCGATTGAGGCTATTCAAAATGCTTTGGAAAACTAACTCATCTGGCTACAACTTTGATTCAGACATCATTCTCCAATTCGATCACTTTCTATGCCAAAAATAGGTCTCAATATGAGACTAAAACATTGGAGCATAACTTTTCGGTTGGAAATTGATTTGTGATCATCTTTTGCCTAAATTTGATTCCATTGACGT